ATAGTCAATGTATAGTCATTGTAGGTTAATAAGATGTACTCTTTCCCTGGCAAAACTGTGTACTCTACAATGACGTTTAAGAAACTCATCTATCTTATTATCACAAAGTAATATCCTTTAATTGGTTGCTTTAATGTAAATATTAAAAAATGGCATCCAAAGGAAGCATAGATTCTTATTTAATGTTGTATTATGTATCAATATAAATTACATACGCAAAAAAAAAATCTTAAGAAGAATCTTGCTTCCAAAACAGCACCTTGCAAAAAAAAGATTTAAAACATAATTTATTACAATTCTGATATTTTAGTCTGTGGATCTGTTTTGATCTGTTTCCTTAATAACAACCAGAATAGATTAGATTAGATGTTATAGTAGAGTTCCAAAACTCTAGTGAGTTAGGTATAATATTAAAGAAACTACAGTGAAAGTGCTTTGTTAAGTAAAGATGTTCAGAGAAAGAAAATATATGAACAGAATTTCATCAGCATTTAACAGCTGAGAGCAAAATAGGAGAAGCAGGGAAGGTCAGAGAATTTTCAGCAGGACTTAGCATGGTTCCAAATCCTTGAAAAAGTCCTGAACTCTGCAGAGGAAGAATATATAGAAAAGAAAAAGGGACAGAGCAAATAGTTCTTAATATAAATATTCTGAGAGAGTAAAAAAAAAATTAAAACACTCATGGAAAAAGACAAAAGTTCCAAATGTTCCAGAGGCTTTGTGACACTTAAGTGGTTTCCTACAAAAGTCTACCATGACACTCCCCGGAAGGGCCACCAGGACAATGGCAGCTGGTTGCACTGTTCACAACCCCCGTAATTATTTTTTCTTAAAATGGGATTTATGTTTCCCCACATCGCAATTGTAGAAAAGTCTTCCTTCTCATGCATATTAATCATTGAGAATTTGGTTATCAGAATCTTTCAGACAGTAGTATTTTGATTCACTTTAACTTTTAAGAAAAAGTAGTTTTCCTTTTAAATGATGCTAAGGTTGCTTCAGCATGCAAACTGATAGATTCAGCCATGAAATCTTTGATGGATCTGACATCAAGATGACACCGTAGATCTTTTCTTATAAACTGCCTTTCAACTTTGTTACACTAATATCTTTGTGGAAACACTTTACGAAATCAGATATAAAGATCTTTAAGCAAATGTAACAAAATAAGAGTTAGCTTCTCTTGCATATACCTAAGTATAGTTGGGAAACATTCATTTTTATCATTTCTGAAAGAGATTTAAAAAAAAAAAACCTTCACAGTTTTTGTAATTCACATAAATATGGGTATCACAATTTCTATAATTCACACAGTAATTGCACTATTTGGCATGCATGTTATTTAAGGCTAAAATCATAAAATATTCACTGATCAGTTTAAAACTAAATTATAACTTAGAATCTGTCTAGGCAACATGAGAATTTGGCTTTGTTTTACTTAAGATGATTATGAAGTCTACAACTTTGATATTTAAATATAGCCTTTGTAATGAACCTTTTAAAGATGATAGTATTATAGAGACCTTTAGAGATAAGTAATGAATCTTTCAGACGTGAATGATCACTGTATTTGATAGTGACTGCTGTGGTTTCAAGGTGACCATGATGGTTTTATTTAGTTCCACAAATACTTTTCATTATTTGCCTACATCTAGAATTCAGACAATATCACGTATGTCTCTAACTGCTTTCACTGTTGATGATGTCACTAGGGCTGTCTTCATCCAAATTGTGCAGCAGGAGTATTCCTTTCTATCTTCCTATTCTCTGATTCCTTTCCCTCCTTGCCTATGCCCTCCCAATACCCTTTCCCCTCTCGAATTTCCACCCTACCACCCTAGACCACCACTTCCAACTATCATTCTTTTTGTGTCTTCAAGTTTCACATAATTTTTTTTATTATTTCAAAATATTATGGGGGTACAAATGTTTTTGGTCACATGGATCGCTTTTCTTATGCTTGAGTCAGGGTTATAAGTGTACCCATCACCCAGATAGTGTTCATTGTACCCGTTAGGTAGGTTTTTGCCCATCCCAAAGCCTAGGTGCCTGACCCTTTTGAGAGAATTTAGATATTAAAAATAATTCTCAAAAGTGGAGAAAATTAATGTCAAAAACATTAAGTTATTTATTACTGGACCATCTACTATACTTTCCAATGAGACTAGGCCTGGGATGGTGGCAAGAATTCTATATAGAATCAGAGATGAATATATTTGAGATTAGCAAGGGAAGAGATTTCCCTGTCACTTTCATCTTTCTCTTGACTATTCATTTCATCTACTGCCAAGTACTCTTCTGGACTATGCTGAGATAGCAGATTTTAGAAGTGGGAATGGAGATCCCCTACTTCTAGAGTCCATCTCATATTCACTGTTCAGTTGATTAATAAGAGATGTCTTGGAACATCATTGCATTCAACATTTGTTGGTAACCTCCCCAGCCCTGAGGCTGCCCTTCCTTCTGATGACACCTCTCTGTGCTTTGATCCCACTCCCAGCTCTAGAGGAGAACCCTTTATTGACTTAAACCATTTTATCCTTCCTGGCCATGATACCTGTTTAATGATAAAAAATAACCAAATTTGTTTGCACCATTAGAGAAGCCATCTCTCTACCAGACAGAAACAAAGATGTACGAATTGCCGAGAGTTACTGGCAGCCATCTTGACAACGTGAGGGAAAGCCTGCGTGAGAGTTAGGCCAACACCAGGGAAGTGGATCCAACACTGTGGAAGGGGATCCAGAAACCAGTTTATGCCCATACTTAATTCTGGACACAACATTTAAGCCCTGGGGGGAAAAAAACCCTTGTCTAATGCTTAATCTCCTCTGGATTGTTCCATTACATGATTCAGTAAGTTTCCTTTTCTGTATAAGCTAATTAGAGTCAGATTTTCTGAAACATTTCTGTTAAGAATGTTCTCTAGGTAATGCAGTATTTTTCCTACCAAATGAAATAAATTCAGTTAACCAGTATCTAAGGTAAACACTGGGTAGTGGGAAGAAATTGTATAAAGATTCATGTATGTAACAGTCATTAATTTGCTCATATCAAGGGAAAGCTAGACTCTAGCCTTTGGTCTACGAGAGAAGGCTGGGTAGTTGACATAAATATCCTCTCTTGCGTCATCTGTGGGTGGATTGGCAGAGGTGGGACTTCTAGAGTTGTTGGGTGCCTAGAAAGACAAACAGCAGAGGATCTCAATAATTCACTGCATTTCAGCAGTTAATAAAGACATTCAAAATGTACAACTCTCCTCTATTCAACCATGATATAGGTCAAATTTCTATCATAAGTAATTTCATAAAACATTCTCTTCAGTGAACTTTTGTTAGAAATCACATTCTTGATTTGCAGGACTCTGAGTGAGATGCAATAGAAACCTACCTAATCTAGATTATCACTTGCTGTATTGTGCTATGAATTACCTGTTTCAACGTAGAACTCTCTCTCCCAATGTTAGGTTATTTTGATAAGAACAATTATTTTAATTTTTTAATATGGAAATTCTAGTGTGGTATTTCTCTATAGTGTGTACTCATTGATGTCTGTTGAATGAATGCCTTAATAAATATCTTTAAAGTACATAGTGTCCTAGGTTTAAAAAACAAGCAACTGGGCCGGGCAGGCTCATGCCTGTAATCCTAGCTCTCTGGGAGGCCGAGGCGGGCGGATGGTTTGAGCTCAGGAGTTCGAAACCAGCCTGAGCAAAAGCAAGAACCCATCTCTACTAAAATTAGAAAGAAATTAATTGGACAACTAAAAATATATAGAAAAAAATTAGCCGAGCATGGTGGTGCATGCCTGTAGTCCCAGCTACTTGGGAGGCTGAGGCAGGAGTATCACTTAAGCCCAGGAGTTTGAGGTTGCTGTGAGCTAGGCTGACGCCACGGCACTCACTCTAGCCCGGGCAACAGAGTGAGACTCTGTCTCAAAAAAAAAAAAAAAAAAAAACAAGCAACTGAACATAATAAAAGAAATTAACAAAGCTGACATTCACTTTCAGGATGATTAAAATTCAAGTGCCATTATTACATAGACCACCTAAGAAAAAAAAGAATCAAATAGGTCTAACTTCTTTACCTTTGACAGTCTAATTTACTATCTTTTAAAATCATCCTTCACAATATCATTATTCTACAAAAGCCTAAAAATGTTGAATACCTAATGTAGACAGTTGCAAAGTTCACTTCCTGCCCCCAAATTCACAACAATAAAGTTGGCTTTGATTGGCTCGAGTAGACAAAGGGCTACAGATTAAGAATCTCCAAATCGTGTATGAAAGAGCCCCGTTTCATCGCTTGCTGAGGTGGCTGATGAAACAACGCAACCCACCTTGATTCTGCAGTTGGTGCCAAGAAGCAAGCCATGGTTTAGACAGAAAAAAAAGTTTTTGTAAGAGTACTTAATTAAAAAAAAAGTTAAACTTCAGATTATTAAGAAGTCTGAAACAAATATATTGGATTATCAGAAACTTTTTAGTACTTGACTTTTTGGCCATGTAGAATTCAATTGCAAATAATTAAATTAAAGAGAAACTGATGTGTTTTTTGAATAGCATTTGAGGAAATGTTCGTCTTAACTTGGGCTGCTGTAACAGAGTATCATAGACTGAGTAACTTAAACAATAAACATTTAGTCTTCATGGTTCTGGAGTCTGGGAAGCACATGATCAAGAGTGTAGTGGGGGCCTGCTTCTTGGGGTGCAGATGGCTGACTTCTGGTTGTATCCTCGCACAGCAGAGAGCAGAAATAAGCTCTCCTGTCTCTTCTTACTTATCCCATTCTTGAGGGCTCCACCTGCATGATCTAATCGCCTCCCAAAGTTCCACCTCGTAATAACATCACATGCAGGGTAGGATTCCAACATATGAATTTTGGGAAGACACAAAAATTCAATCCATAGAAACATTTTATTGTGAAATTTCATAAACAGAATATTCGTTGGAGAGGTTTGACCTAGAGTGGAGACATTGAGCATGAATATAAGCACCCCTCTTATGTGCAAACCGTGAAGGAAGTTTCTACTCTTCTAATTAAACAATAGAGGGCAGAGCAAGGTAGAATGAGGAGGAAAATTTTACAGTTCCTCAAACTCCTACAGCCCATAAGAAAGTTCTTTAGCTTTATAATCTAATCTTAGCATCCATTAATTAATAAATTAGCTTCAAATGTAATAATAAGAATGAATATCATGTATTGTGTCTTTCTATGTGCTTGCTGTGCTTTGGGGTCTTTTATGTAGTCTAATTTAATTTAGCCCTTCACAATAATCTCATGACATAAAAATGTTATTATTCCCTGTACTGGGTTGGATAGTTTCCCTCCAAAATTGATGTGCTTTCCAGAACTTCATAATGTGACCTTCTTGGGAAATAGGATCCCTGTAGAGGAAGTTAGTTAAGATGAGGTTGTACTGGAGTAAGGTGGGCCTTTAGTCCAATATGATTGGCGACCTCATAAGAAAAGAAGGAACACAGAGGCTACACACAGGGGAGGACGCCATGTGAAGACAGAGGCAGAGATTGGAGTGATGTGTCTACAGGCCAAGGATCGTCAACAACTACCAGATGCTAGGAGACAAGCATGGAAGGGATTCCCATCCCAAGAAAGAACCAAGCCTTCTAACACCTTTTTGTAGACTTCAACTCTCCCAAATTGTGACAGAATAGATTTCTGCTGTTTTAAGCTGCTCAGTGTGTGGTAATTTGTCATGGCAGTCCTAGGAAATGAATAGAGATTTTGGGAAGGCATTGATTGTTTTTACAACAGTGTAACTGCTCTTTTATCTATATCAATATAAAAATCTTAGTTTCAAAGGAGAATAGGAGAATAGTTGAGAAAATAACTTTCCCCAGATAGCTGGTATTTGAATTACAGGCCAATTGCATGGCCAGATTATTGAAAGGAGAATAAAAAATAAGATGGCTAACTGCAAAACAGACTGATTTTACAAGACATTTATAAGTCACAAAAGGGAAAAAATGACAACTGTGAGCAAACTCACCTTTTTCTGTGTATCCCAGAAATCTTTACATAGGTCTCTTTTCTGTCTCCTCCTCCGTCTGGAAGGCATATTCAATAGAGGATATGAAGATACGATACTCCAGCACTAGTATTATTTCAAATACCCTATACCTCACCATACCCCCAGCCCACATGCATTTACTAAATATGTTGAAGCAGCTATCCACCACTGCTTTCTGTACACTTATGGAAAATTCTATTGATCTGACTTTTTTCATTTTCCCTACTTTCTCCAATGTGCTCACGGACAGTGAGGGCAACTAAATGAGCATCCAACCAGTGTGCATTAGTAATTCCTCTCAGTGATTTGACTGAAGAATGGTTTATAGCAGGTTATTACATATACGGTTTACAGCTTTCTTCAAATAACCTTGGACTTAGAAATTCTCCACAATTAAAACTTCTTATAAATGCCAACAGTGTAACTTCTTGGATGACAACGATAATATAATTAAGCTTTATAAAATCTTCCAGGTGTTATTCTAAATCACCTGTATGGATTATTTTATTCAGATGTCATCAAACTGAGTAGGAAACAAACAGAGTAGGAAACTGAGGTGTAAAGAGGAAGAATAACTTGTCCAAAATCTCATAGTTAGTGGAAGCATCGGGATTTAAATCCACAGCCCTCCCTCTTGACTGTTAGACTCCACTAGTCCTGGAGTCACTTCACTGTGTCTAAAGAGACCATCTGGAACCATGTTGTTCAATAAACTCCCCACAGTTCCAACAAAACCCATAAACACTTGACTTTGGGAGAACTCTTAGAAGGGAAAATATAAGAGAAGAAGAAAAGTGGCTGCTGTAATTGAATGCAGTAGATAAAATAACTGTATCCAAGTATATGAAAATAGTTATCACAGGGACATGGTGACTTTTTTATCTCCCTAAAGAAAAGATTCTTATGAACAACAGAGGAGATGGTTAGACACAAAAATGTAGCGGTTTTTGTTGTTGTTGTTAAGATAAGGTCGAGAGGAATCATTCCTCTGTTCAAGGACAGGGTATTCTGGTGCTGGGATAGTGACTCTAGAGGTCCCTTCTCATCACTTTGAAATCCTCCTACCATATCAACATATTACCCTATTCTATGTGTATTTATTTGCTTCATTTATTATTAAACCAATTATTCCTTAATTTATTTATTTATTCTATGTGCAAATTTACTATGTGCAAGGCATGTTTCTAGGTGTTTTATGTAAGTAATTTATTCTTCAAAATAAATCTATGATATAGATGCTATTATTATCCTCTTTTTACAGATGAGGAGATTAGGACACAAATCTATGATCTTTGACCTTTTGTTAAATCATGGTTCACAAGGCTTGCTATCTCATAATACAATTAACATTTTCCCAAATGGGTCCAGATGCACGTGCGCGCGCGCGCGCCCACACACACACACACACACACACACACACACACACACACACTTAAATAAGCCTAGAATACACAGTGTGATGAATAAAGGAGAATATGGAGCTTAGAGTCAGATGACCTGTGTTTAATTTTTGCTGTGAAATGCACTAGCTGAGTTATTTGCATCTCTAAAGTTCAGCCCTTTCATCTGTAAGATAAAAATGGTAAACATATCATGGTTTGTTCTAGGTTGATCAGCTGTTCTGGTCTGCCTGGGACTAAGGAGTTTCCCAGGATGAGGGATTTTCAATGCTGAAACCTGGAAAGTCCAGGTAAACCAAGACATTCTATTTATTGTGTACGTTAACATCTACAACAAATGTAAAAATAAATATCTAACACTTTTGTCACTAAATGTTAAATTTCCTCCTACATACACAGATGTCAATCAATAGAATGTATCCCTAACATTTTGGGTCTTTCACGCTTACCAGTGCTACCCTCTTCCCCAGCCATGTTCACTTACTAATGCTACCATTCTTATCTCTACATGAAAACCACACACCCCAGGAGCAGAGAAACTTCTTCCAATCCCCCTGGACACACAGGCTGCTAGACGCTGAGTGTGAAGTAAGAATTCAGTTTCGTTCAGACATGCTGTCTGATTTGTGTTGGCTGCTATCCAAGTCAGTACATCTGAAGTGGCAGAATAACTTTAAACAGTGGGTAAAACAGAGTTCAGGAGGTCATTGGTGAAGTCCTTGGGTTATTTTTCAAAGCATTTCTGTTTGAAATAACATCCACAAACTTATACAAGCAACAAGGTAGAAAGAACAAGGGCTTTTTCCTTTGTGGTGTTCTTCCATGATTATGAATTCAAGTCCACTAATCTTCTTTTATCACATTTAACCAAGTGGGACAATATATTCTACAGTTCAATTTAGCTATTCATGTAAAAGTGATACATTTTCATGAAGCAAAATCCATCATGTCCAACATCTGTGACCCTCCAGAGATCAGTTCCATCGCTTCCTCTCTCTGAGTCAAGTTGCTGGGTTCCAGTGCGCTCGCACTGCCATCTCTGCCCTGGGTGCGTTTTCTATCACCAAGATGGAGCAGCAGAGAAGTCCTTGGTGCCATTAACACACGGGTCTCTTACCTCAATTTGCTAATCTCTGGTCAGGGAAAGACTTGAGGGCAGCCCATGATAGAGAAAAAGGTAAAACAACTGTCTCATGTTTTCATTTAATTAGACAAATGCTTATTGAACATCCATTATTTGGACAGATTAGTGTTAAATGCTATCAAACACTAAAAAATGAATAAAACACAAATCCTACCATTATTAATAGAAGGGAATACAAACCTGAAAATGATTAAAATACAAAGCAGGATGCTAGGATAGCAGACAAGAAGTACAAGATGATTCCAGATGGTGACATCATGTCTATTTCAGGGACAGAGAAAAGAACAGACCTCACTGAGGGGACAGGTGTCCCGTACCTTGAATGATGCCCAGGATTAAGGCCAAATTATGGGGAAACAGCATTTTAGTAGCATACCAGATGGGACGAGAGTTGGGTGTGTTGCAGTTTTAACAACATTTGTCAACATTGGGGGAGTAAATGAAGTAGAAAATATGAAGGAAAATTAGGCTTCGGTCAGAACATACAGCACCTTCGATGGCAGGGTTAATGAGTTTTAACCTTATTCTGGAAGGAATGGGAAGACGATAAAAGGTATTAAACAGGAGGATGACATGCAAACCCAGATTTTAAAATAGGAACCAGGAAAACTTGACAGGTTAAAGAGAGGATAAAACTGAAACTAGACTACAGAGTATTACCAAAATCAGGTGAGCAGACCCGACAGCCTCCAAAAAGAGGAAGAGGTCAAGGATATGGAGACGAGATGGAGAAACCTGCTGGAGATTCTATGAACTAGCCACTGGGGGAGTAATACCAGGGGAGTAGTTATGGGGGAGAAGAGATGGATATATCCATTCACCCAGAAGACACACATAAAGTGTGTATGACATGCCAGACATGCAAAATATAGACATCACAAGTATGGTTCTTTCCTCCCTTCAGGAGATGACACTGTAGTTGGAACCATTAGAAGGAGTAATTCCAACCCACTGTGATTACAGCTAAGAAGTGCAACACACTAGACAAGTGGGCGGTAAACAAGGGAGAGCCAGAAGAGGAAGGAAGCATTAACCAAGAATACCCCAGAAAATTCCTAACCATACCACAAGACAGTAAAAGGCAAACAAACAAACAAAAAAACAAACAAACAAACAAAAAACACTTTTGTAGAGGCCAAATGGCTCCCTGTTTTCTCTAAGGTAGCACCCTCTAATCCCTTCTTCCTCAGCAATTATTAATAATAGCACCTAGGTTGCTTGGCTCAGAGGATATACGACTATTTGAAATTATGTTATTTGCTTATTAGAATATGAGCTTCATTATGTCTTGTTCACTGCTGTGCACAATAAATATTTGAGGAATGAATAAATTAAGGCTTTGTCACTGTTAAACCTTGTTCTTTCCCGTCTCAAAATCCCAGTCTCTCTCTCTCTCTCTCTCTCACTCACACACACACACACACACACACAAACACACACACTCATACACACACCACCATCCCCTCATTTTTCCTTGGAGGAAGAGGAAGATAGGGTGGGAGACAGCAGGGGTAACAGGCAGAACAAGAAAAGGAGGGACCACCAACTCTTACTAATTTTCATACGAACTATTCTAGCTTTCCCCTCTAGTATTACCACAACTTCTCTTCCTTCTGGTAAGAACAGTACCCAGAAAAATACATATGTGGATGCTGAGACAGCGTGACAAATTACGCGTTAGTAATGGAGATCCTCTGACATCAGAATTACTCAGGGTGAACAAGACGCAGGATCAGTCGTACTACTCACCTGTTATAGGAAATGACAATGACGGTGGTAATTAGGATAACAAACAGCAACAATAAAACTGTCCCTCCAGCCATGAAGAGGATATATTGGTTATTGGTTTTACCTAGGAGGAAAAAAATTATAGTAGGAATTAGGAATTCAACCAAAGGCAGAAAAAAAGAAAGGTAGGAAAATGAAGAGTAACAATTAAAAATAACAAAGAATCCAGTAAAAAAAAATAGAATAAATTAAAGAAAAAAGACAGTTTTAGAGACTCCTAAATATTTCTCACGCTGCGCAGATTTTTATTTGTCCCTTGTCCCCCTTAAGAAGAACAAGAGTATCAAGGGCGCACATCCACCGAAGACACCACTTCATTCTAATAAGCTCCTGATCACACTCACAAAATCTTTTGTAGAAAAAAATAACTATTGAAATAGTAAATAAATGAAGATTGCTTCTTATGTCTGATATATTAACTACATTCAACACACACAAGTATGTAATTTTGATGTTTATAAGTAGAATTTTGTTTTAAAAATATTTTGACTCAATTTGTTAATGATTAAAAATAATCAGAAAAAAATATGTTACTCCAACTCAATGTTCAATTGGAAATTCATAAGGGTCCAGGATTCTGAAATCCTCATCCTGGGTCTTTTACTATTTAGCTGACTGATTTCCAGAAAATTCCTTCACCTTCTCTGCATGTGTCTCTTCATATGCCAAGTGATAGCAAGGACGGCCGTTCTAATTACATCACGGCAAGAATCTAATGAGTCATATTCAAAAGAGCAATGAACTACTACTAGAGAAATGTCCCCTCTGGAGTGTGACTGCAGTGAGGTCGGAGAGCATTTTATCTTTCCATTGCATCCTCCTGCCCAGGACACACGTCACACGGCCCCACCCACGGGGCACCGTGTGTGACGCTTCGCACAGGGAAGAAGCCCATCAGTATCTGCCGCTGGTGGGAATGGGATTGCATTCAAACCTCGTGGTTGTCTTTATCGCTCTCTCTCTTTGGGATAGTACATCTGCCAATCCCCTAAACACACACACACACACACACACACACACACACACACACACACACACACAGAAAGGGGCCAGGCTAGCAGAGGGCAGCACACCTTTCCTCCCTTTTGACACTGAAGCTCGGATGCCCATACCGCAATTCCCAAGCAGTTTGGAATCCTACCACAATGTGAGAATCGTGCTCTTCAACCAACTCTTTCCACCTTTCCCCAGGTTATTTCTTCCTTCATGCTCCACTATGTAGCCACAACTTTTTTTCATGATAACTCAAAGTCTAGACCCATTCATTCTTTTACAAGCTTTACTACAAAGGGAAACTAAGACAAATAATAAATGATTTATTGTTTAAATTTGTTTAACCTAGATTTCACATGTAAGTGAGATCCTACAGTATCGTTCTTTCTGTGTCTGGGTTATTTCACTTACTGTTCTCAAGGTTCATCCATGTTGTCACACATGACAGGATTTCCTTCTTTTTTAAGGGCGAATAGTACTCCATTGTGTATATGTACCACATTTTCTTTATCCATTCTTCTGTTGATGGACGTTTAGGTTGTTTTCATATTTTGTCTCTTGTGGATAACGCTACAATGAAGATGTGAGTGCAGATACCACTTGGAGATACTGACTTCATTTCTTTTGTGTGTATACCCAAGAGAGGGATTGATGGGTCATATGATAGTTCTATTTTTAAGTTTTTGAGGAATCTCCATACTGTATCAATAATGGCTGCACCAAAATTCACATTCTCACCAACAGTGTACAAGGAAGAGTTCCCTTTTCTCCACATCCTTGCCAGCACTTGTTATCTCTTGTCTTTTTGATAGTAGACATTTTAACAGGTATGAGGTGATTATCTCACTGTGGTTTTGATTTGCATTTCCCTGATGATTAGTGATGTTGAGCATCTTTCCACAAACCTATAGGCCAGTTTTCTGTCTTCTTTAGAAAAACATCTATTTGGGTCCTTTGCCCATTTTTTAATTGGGTTCTTTGTTTTTTTGCTATGAAATATTGTCATTTGCCATAGCTTCGATAAATCTGGAGGATATTACACTATGTGAAACAAGCCAGACCCAGAAAAACAAATACTGTATGATCTCAATTGCATGTGTAATCAAAAAAAGTCTAACTCATAGAGGCAGAGAGTAATATGGTGGTTGCCAGGAGCTGGGGAGGCAGAAAATGGGGAGATGTTGGTTAAAGGTACCAACTTTTGGTTACAAGATGAGCAAGTTCTGGGGATCTAATGTACAGTATGGGGGTGATAGATGAGTTAACTTGATTGTGGTGATCATCGCACAATATTTACATATGCCAAATCATCACATTGTACACTTTGAATATATTCAATCTTTATTTGACAACTAAACCTTTCAAAAAATCTTTAAAGCAATTGTGTTCTTTGGGGCTTTTTGGTACTTTCAAAATTTTCTAAATGATGTGTTGCTCTTGTAATCAGGCAAAAAAGTATAAAAATGTAAAGGTCTACATGCTTAAAACAGAATGTCCTACCAAGTTTTAGTGGGTATATTTAAAGTGCAGGATATAGAGCCCTTCTTTTTAGAAGTAGACTGAGAATACTTAATAATTAAAATGGCATTCTTTATTAAACTCTAGATTATATGAATTTAGAAGTAGAATTCTTGAAAGTATGGCCATTTGTGTCACACTACTCAATCATAAATACATCCTTTAATATGAAATTTTGCACCTATTTTTAACCTCTCCTAGTAAAGTGTGACCTCTTGGAGTGAGATCCATTTATTCATTCAGCCTTTAAACACATAGTACTTCAGGAAGTACGGCGTACCTGGTACTATAGATAAAGTGGTGGGTAAAACAAATTTGATACCTGATTTAATGGAGCTTATATTGTTTTGAAAAGTGTTGGACAATTTAAAAACAGACAGAGAACAAACATTTTCCCTTAAGAAATAGGGTAAGAGCATGGGGGTCAGGTAGGTGTCCTATCCCACCCCAGAGACGTTTCAATCTAGAGTGTCCCAGCCTGTAGCCAACACTGCTTACTCTTCACCGCTTTCCCTGCCCTCGGTGGCTTTCATGTGAACGACCACTACTCAGAACCAGGCTGGTGTAAACACACAACTTGCTGGGCCCAGTATGTCTGGGGGGAAAAAGAAAAAATGAAAGGCAAATGGGTATGGATGCTTTGGGAGTTAATCAATAGTTCACAACATTCCCTTTTTTCCTTAAGTTTTGCTAATAGATCTTAGGTTGAATAATGTCAGCCCTCAAGCCCTTCTCTTTAAAAAAGAAAGAATTATTGTCTGTTTTCAGCAGCCACTTTTTTGCTGACGTTTTTCACTTACATCCCGATGCTGCGTTGATTCATAGGAGGACAAAAGTGTCTTGAACCGTAAAGCCATTATTTTTCCTTCCATCACAAAAGATAAATACAGTTAAAACAATTTAAAACAAGTCAGTGAAATACATAAATGAATAATTTACTCCAGGACTGTGACCCTCCAGGCTAAGTTTCTGCCAGTGACAAGTATTTATGGCTAAGTTATAAACCCTTAGAAAAGGCTCATGATAGAAGTGCTGCCAGATCCTTCCCTCAGAGCCGGGGGACAAGAGCAGCCATTAGTGTCTATTGTTTATCCTTTATTGGGGTGTGGGGTGGAGCGAGGGAGTGAAGAAACCAAGTAACTTAGAACCTTCATAACTGGACCAAAAAACAAGCCATGGGGAAAACTCACAGATCGTGACCCTTTAATCTCTGGGGTTGTGGGGAAGGGGATGAAAATTAAAGCCACAGTGAGATATCACTTCACACCTGCTACGATGGCTTTTAGCAAAAGATGAAAGATAGCAAATGTTGGTGAGGGTGTGAAGAGAAGAACACCCATGTATACTTTTGAAAGACAAATACCTCATGATCTCACTTATATGTGGAATCTAAAAAAGTCTATTTCATAGAAGTGGTGGGTAGAATGATTGCTACCAGAGGCCAGGCGGAAACGTGGGGAGGGAGAAAATGGGGTCGTCGGTCAAACGGCACAAAATGTCAGACACACAGGAGGGATAAATTTTGGGAGCTATCACACAGCAAGGTGACCACAGTCATAACAACACATTATATATTTCAAAATAACAAAGAGTAAATTTCAAATGTCTCACCATAAAAATGATAGGTAAATGAGGTAATAGATATGTCAATTAGCTTCATTCAATCACTCATTTTACACAAAATACAATCAAAACATCATGTTGTACCCCATAAATATATACAAATATGGCTTATCCATTTAAAATATTAATTTTAAAGAGAGAAGCCCACACATGGGATCTCACTCTATATTCGGATGGAACGTACACAGTGAGAGAGTTCACATGGAAGAGGTGTGTGTGGGCTGACATATTTGGCGTTATCAGGTCATTCCAAGTTTGACTCACAATATGATGTAGACAACTACCCAAGCTTTGTCCCACATTAGACGTTGGTTTGCTGAAAACACAGAGATTTAAGAGAGAAGCCTTGGAGCCTAGTTCTGTCTCTGATTCCTCTCCCTGGAAGACCTCACATAGGACACAATGGTTTAGACACTTTTTAGTGTCAACTGCAAAATGATGATAAAATTAACCACAAGGGTAGCTACAGAACTTTAATAAAGCATGAAGAGGTGCTTTAATATTTTAAGCACCACATAATATAGTTATTAAAAGTCCATATTATATATACACTTATATTTTATGTATACACATTCCAAATTAGGTTAAATAAATAACTCATTTCTGTTCTTTTCATGTTGAAATGTCATGCTGAAATAGTCATGTATAGCAGAGTATGCTTGTTCCTGTAGCTAAAGCCAAGCTCACCTTCCTGGGGAAGGGCAGAGACAGTGTAGATAAACACACACACAGTAATTGCAGCTTTGGAGGACCACTGGAATTAATGGTAGCCCAAAGTTTGTGGAACTTCCATGTATGCCTGAAATATGCATCAAGTAGATATTGATATGGTAATATTATTCCAGTTTTTCAAAGGTCAACTTTCTTTGTGCAAATCAGTTTTATACTCTTTCTATTTCAGAAACCTTCCCCTGTTTTATAGCAAAAAGG